TAAGGGAGCGTTCATAATTTATATGTGGGGGGGCTATGAGGATTTCACGGGGGGGTCAGCTATTTTTATCTGTAATCGTTAGGGGGGGCTGTAGATAATAAGTTAAGAATCCGGAAGGGGGGGGTCATCAAGAAACGCTACAATGTTCGCACTTAATTTCGTAATTTTCTTGATTGCAAAAAATCGCGAAATTAAATACTTCCGACTATGAATGATTTATACTGTCTTAATCCTTTTCCACTTTAATCTTTGTTTTATTGTTTCGTGTCAAGATCGCAAAAATAAAGTCTCGTGAAATATTTTGTCGAAAAAGTCGCAAAAAATGAGTACGGCAAACTTGTCTACGACTATGAATGTAACAAATATAACATAAATTTTTTCTGTGTTGGTGTAGTGTACTCAGGTGAATATGATATTTGTGGTGTTACTCTGAGCGTATATCCACACCGGGCGAGCTTGAAAAATATGCCCGGCCACGGTGGGATTCGAACCTACGACCTTTGGAATACTAGCCCAATGCTCTTCCAACTGAGCTACGCAGTCAGGACGGTTCGAGTAAGTGATATTTCGGAACAGTATCTAGTTCCTTCAATACCAATGTGTTCTAGTAATATGAATTTTTCTGTGTTGGTGTTGTGTACTCAGGTGAATAATATGTTTGCGATGTTTCTCTGATTGCATATCCACACCGGGCGAGCTTGAAAATATGCCCGGCCACGGTGGGATTCGAACCTACGACCTTTGGAATACTAGCCCAATGCTCTTCCAACTGAGCTACGCAGTCAGGACGGTTCGAGTAAGTGATATTTCGGAACTGAATCTAGTTCCTTCGATACCAATGTATTCTAGTAATATGAATTTTTTCTGTGTTGGTGTAGTGTACTCAGGTGAATATGATATTTGTGGTGTTACTCTGAGCGTATATCCCGTAAATTCATATTACTAGAATACATTGGTATCGAAGGAACTAGATTCAGTTCCGAAATATCACTTACTCGAACCGTCCTGACTGCGTAGCTCAGTTGGAAGAGCATTGGGCTAGTATTCCAAAGGTCGTAGGTTCGAATCCCACCGTGGCCGGGCATATTTTTCAAGCTCGCCCGGTGTGGATATACGCTCAAAGTAACACCACAAATAAAATATAACATAGTTATATGATCAGGTAAACACAATGGATTTTATTTTCAAAAGGGACGTTACTCAACAGTGGTGCAACACTATTCTATTGATAAATTTGTGGCCCTCTATATACATATATACATATACATATATATCAAAGTAGATCATATTTGTTTGTTTCAAATCAAGTATATTATATCCTCGGACACGTGGAGGAAGGCGTTTGCATGCGAATTCATGTCTTCGAAAACAGAAAACTTTAACATAGTCTTAGAATAAAAAACGTGTTGATTTTCGTCCACTTCTTGTGTTTGTGGGTATCCTGACAGGTAAGTCTACATCACTTTCACTCTCATCGCCACTGGCACTGCTCTGGCTACTACAACTAGTGCTTTCACATCCAGGATAACTGCTCGTTTCAAACAAGATTTCCTCCTCACTCTCTGACTCTTCCGAATCAGCGGGGTTTTCTACCGGACGAAGGAGAGCTTTTCCAGTAACAACGACTTCTTCTAGACTTGAACCCTTGCTCTCGTGAACATGGGCTGTGATGATCAACACCTTCTCTTCTTTCAGTTTGCGTCTCCACGGTAACGAGTGATGTTTAAGGTATTTATCTAGTTCAAATACATAGGGCAATTTAAGGCTGCCGGTCAAAAGAAGTTCTTCCCAGTTGTACTCCTCATACTTTTTGTCTTTTCTTCTTTGACGTTCCTGTTCAGCTGCCACACTTCTGAGTTGCTTGGTATGGTTTAAATGTTTCAAGTGATCTATATATGACTTCACCAGCTCTGATGGTACGATGAACCGTTTTGAAAATTCCGCAATCTTTTCCTCAGAGTCGAGGTTTCCCTGACCAAACCAGCTCTTTATTTGCGCCCTTGGCAAAAAATCATCGGGAGGTCTTGGTTCATTCTCAGCCGAACTTCCTGGGGATTCAAATACAGGCTTGTACTTGAAAGTTGTTTCGTCGGGGAATGGCCCAGGAATTCTTTCCATCACTGGACCGATCCATCCTGAACTACAAGTTGTGCAAGGTTTCCCTGCGTCTCTCGTGCAGCCATCTTTCAAAAATTCCATATACAGTTCTCCCTTTTCGTAGTGACTATCAATATATCCTGAGATTTTGGAGAAATAATGGTAGCCAGTCACATTCTGTTTTTGGACATCTGAGGCTCTCCCAAACTCCTGCAACTGATCTTTATTGAAGAAAAAGGAGTCCTGTTCCTTTTCAGTTACCAAAGATTTTATGTAACTAGATAGAACTGGTGCATCATCCATCCGTGAGGCAATGTCTTGAGAAACCCTCCAGGCATTTCGTTCCATTCGATTATCTTCATATTGCTCATATGACGAGAGCGTCATATTTTGAACTTCCTCGTCACTTAAGTCGTCAAACCTTTGGAAGTAATCCCACTTGATAGTGCCTCCGTCTATGACTGCATCACCGACTGCTGCGTTGGTTCTTTCAGCTTCTCCCTACCCGCTATCCTCGCGCGCACGATGAACTCTTATCCGATAATCTGAGTTCCATATCCTGGCCATTTCAGCGTCTCGAAATCTAACTTCTAAATTGCTGACTCCAACTCCTGGTCCCGCATCTGTGAGATCACACCATCGAGGCTTTATTGGGGGAAGTTCCAGTTCTTCCAAACAATCGAGTAGCTTTCTACAACAATATACACAAAACTGTATTTTTTCTAATAGAGAACAGCTCTCTCTAGGATCCTCAATATATCGATCCACTTCGGTTAACGCTGAAGTTAAGTCTTGCACCAGTGGCTGAACTCTGGCTGCAAACACAGTCTTTCCAACATTGTCAATCTGTTCAAAATTATCGTCAAGGGCTTCCTGAATTCTAGCTTTTAATCTGGTTAGTCTCTTTCGTTCGTATTGGGTGTGAGGATTATCTCGATCACCAGCCTTTGCACGCTCTATGTCCTTTTGTTCAGACATGTCCATAAACAAAAAGGCGGCGTCATGAAGTTGTGCGCAGATTAAACGAAATGAAGGATGATATTTCTCTTCACCGTTGGCGTCTTCCTTAACTTCAAAAATATCGGGATATAGGTATCCGAGTCTCATCGTTTCATTCGCCCACACAGTACCGCTTGAACCAACGTAAAACTTAGGACGCACAAAAACGAAGTGTTCATCCTCTTCAGTTATTAATTTCTCACTTCCATCAATATCCTGACCGACTTTAGTAAAAATTCGATGTGCAGAGGGAGTTATATTGACTTTTTGTTCTGGCCAATCATGCAATGGTAACTTGCGGGCTCGTTCTTCTGCACTGGGGGTTAATATACGCTGGTTTCTGGCATTGTTCATGGCTTCACCTGTGCCAAGGCGAATGTATGCCTTGTCATCGATTGAGCGGCAAAAACAGTACTTTCGGTTTCTGGCCATTTTATTGGAGAAAAAAAACATTTTGACATTGTTGACGTGCGCTCGCTGATAATGGGTACTTTTATTTTCCGAAAACTCTGTTTTGGGGGGTTTTCTGGTGCAAAAGTATCCCTTGCCCAAATGCAATTTCGCTTGACGCGAGTTTTTGCGCCTAAGCTCAGAACGATTCCACACCGTTGTTTTTGATCGAACAAGACGTTTGCCCTTCTGAGACAAAAATGATTAGCAATTAAAGGAAGGTCAGCTACTTTGACGCGACGATTGGTATACATTGTGGTGTTGTGTCGTCTTCCATGGTACGTCGCTTTATCTTCAATTGCTTTAGCAATTTGTTCCTCTGTGTCACTATCGATCAAAGGTTTGCGACCCTGGCCTCCTAATTTCCTTTTACCTACTCTGTTCATTAAAAGATGTCGTTTTGCACGTCTCCTTCGCATCTGCTGCAGACGTTGTCTATGAGATTTGCTCTTTCCAACCTGCAAGTCCTGTAGCTCCTTCACACGATCTTCACACGCTTCGATTTCATCCTGTAGCTCATCTTGGCGCACTTTTCTCCAGCTTTTTGAATTTCTTAAACAAGAGTTTCTTTTTTGCCTGTATTTTGGACTCCAGTTTCTCGATCTTATTGCTTATATCTTCACTGACCTCGTTATTAACGACGGCACTTGAATGTCTTACTTCCTCCAAAACGAGTGAAACACGGTCTCTGATTTTTTCCGTTGTCTCTTGTTTGACGCCTAGTAGCTTCATTTCTTCAGCTGTTCTTGTTCGACATAGTATATACTTTACTACTTGCTTGTCCCATTCTGATGTCACACTGTCCAAAACAATATCAATTTCCTCTTTGGTAAATTCCTCTTTTCTATCACTATAGAAATGTTTTACCAGAAAATCATACAGGAAAGTAAAATCTAGGGAGCGATCTGGACACAATGTAATAACCTTTTCACGTGAGCCTGGAATAACTAAAATATTGACACATAATCCAGTATTTGGATGTAGTATAGCGCACTGAAAATTATACTTTGCTTGATGAGAAAAGTCTT